TATATTCGGTAGAAAGTAGAACTATTTATTAACATTGACAACTAGATCATATATGCAAGTACTCCATAACAAGGCGGAATACATTTGGCATTAAATTTAATAAGGTTTGTTACGTAGAAAAACAGGATGTAACCTTGTTCGGTAAAAGACACAGCGGCAAAAAACTGAATTCATTTCAAACGCGACTGCCTGACAAGAATTCGATCTATATCAAATTTTAGACTAGCAGCGGGCAGTTTGATCAAACAGCAGATAATATGAGAAACAGAATAAAGGAGGCTAAATATGGTACACCATATACAGGGTGATGCAGAAGTGTCGTGAAATAACTCTATGTTAGGTTTGCTATGTGAGATTTTCACTCCAATGTTTGTGCATATTTAAAAAACATATTTTGGTGCCACATAAATCGTTTTCAAAAATGGTGGTGTGCTCATAAAAGCTAACCGTACTAAATATAAACAATACCGGTTAAACTTTTAGCTACGTAATCGAGGACGCGATTTTTAAATTCATTGTTACCAACCATGGACATTTTAAAGGAAATTGCTGCACTGCACTGGTCTGTGACATTTTGCTATGTGTATACCGGATGCGTCTCGAAAGTGGCTCACCCCTATCTATAACTTTTTTATTTTTTTCAGATAAAAAAAAACGAGATTTGGTATTTTAGTATTTAACATAAATTAGGATTGATTGACGTATTCAATTGTTTTTGGTCACTTCTTGTGTCACCGGAAATGACTACAACTTTTGATTTTTAAACGGCACCCTCGGTATATTTCTATTTTATTCGATAGAAAATTATACTCTGAGTAGAATGACTTATAATATGTCATCTTTTGACATTTTTGCTTAAAAAAATCGTATTTTAAATTTAAATCTAAAGGCTTAATCAAGGAGTCTTGGAAAAATAGAACTGATGTCTATGTTTTTCTGGTCTAATGTTTTTCGTGTCTTGTCCTGACCGGTTAAAAGATGCTCAAATCGTATTTTTAAACATATCTCAACTTTTTCAAATGGAACAAGAGTGGTTCATTAGCATATTTGAAAAAAAACATTTTTTTACGAATAATTTGGTACCGTACACTTGGTGTGTGGTACAATTCAAATTATCGTTATGAACTGCAGGTTACAATTTCAAGTAAACCATATGCGAAAATGTCAAAAGATGACATACATTCTATTCAGAGTATTATTTTCTATCCAATAAAGTAGAAATATACCGAGGATGCCATTTAAAAATCAAAAGTTTTGGCCATTTCCGGTGAAACAGGAAGTGATAAAAAACAATTGAACACGTCAACTACTCCTAATTTATGTTATATACTAACGTACCAAATCTCGTTTCTTTATCTGAAAAACTAAAAAAGTTATAGGGGTGAGCCACTTTTGGTAATCCTAAACATAAAACACCGCCAAACTAGAACAATTTTAAATATACAGGGTGTCCCAGAAATAAGTGCAAATATTTTAACTGGTAGTATTGTTCAACCCCAGAAACACGCTTATGAGGTTTTTTTCGCAAAAAAAAATTTTGAAAATTCGAATTTTTTTGAAAAATTTGTTGGAATTTTTTTTTAGTTTTTAGTTAAAAAACATAATTTCTTGATAATATGGCAACATAGGTATTAGATTAAATTTACAAGAAAGAAAATTCAGAGAAGATCCAGTGGTTCTCAAAATTTTAGCAAAAAATCATTTTTTTTTGGAAATTTTCAAAGTAAAATAACTCCGTTATTTTGGACTTATTTGAAAAACGATAGAGAGAAAATATGTTTCTTTTATCGAAATTTACCACCCCTTAAAATAGTAGTGTTTATTGCTCTAAAAAATCTGCAGTATGACGAAAAATCTAGAACGCAACACGGCCGATAACAAATAACGGCCTTGGCTGCTTATGATCCTCGGCTATCGCCTCGGATCACAAACTTCAGCCCGGCCGTTATTTGTTGTTTATCGGCCTTATTACGTTAATAACTATAAAAGTAATTAAACAAGTCTCATATTACAGGCAATTAGATGCATATGAGACCGTCAAAATAAATAAATCTAAAGATAGTATGAACAGAGATAATAGTTCAATCCATATCTCTCCGTAACATATCTGTTTTACAAGAGTTTAAGACCACACACTCTGTATAACAACTAAACAAAACCGAACATTATTACAGATGAAGTAACGAATTCACCGAAACAAAAAATGCCCAACACAATTAGCGATATGCGATGTGAGAAACGTACGTATTACACGCCAAGGTCATTTTTCTCGCCAAGAACCAGAAATATAACAATAACAACAAAGATGTTATTAGAAAAATGTAATTGGTGTAGAGAGGAGGAATGGCCATAATAATGCCGGCGACTGTTGTGAATTTCTGTAGGATGACGTAAGAATGTAGAATGGTGGACGAATTTCTTCCTTTATGCTCGTCGTTCGTGTCTTCGTTCTTCTTTTTCTACCTGTTAAAGTATCAAGATCAAGGTCGTCGACAATATGAAGATTTCGCAGTGTTTTTAAGATTGAAGCGGCGAATTTTTGCAGCTAACATATGGAATTTATTTCCCATATGTTATCTTTATCAGATATTTTGTTAGTTCCTGCCATATGTATGTGAAATGTAGAATTTTTTGGGAGGGGAGTTAATCACCGCGACCTTACAGATCTATTGTATGTTCTCCTTTCTTGAGCTATAACGATTCTCAGGGCTTTGACAAAAGCCAGTATTTGAGACGGCTTTACAGAGGCCAGCTCTCCATCCTCGACATCAGCCGTACCAAAGTTCATGGCACGAACGGTCGTCGTCTCGGCGCACTCAGTGATAAGGTGTTCTGGTGTTTCCCTATAGACCCACAGACCACTCTGCATTCACCGTTGTTCCTCAGCTTCAGCCTACTGAGGTGTTCGTTAAGGAGACAGTGTCCTGTTAGAAACCCCGTGACAATCTTCTTAAATCAAGGAAAATCTTTGATTTTTCTCGGTAGTAGGTTCCGAGGAACTTTTTCGAGTGTCTTAAACCGTTGGAAGATTCTCATTCCAGGTTACTTAGTTGGAGTCTTCTAGGTTCCTCAGTTCCGCCTTTAGTTGGTTTCCGCTTGGAAAACAGAACGGTTCTGGTCCAGTTAGTGGTGTGTTCGCTCCTTTTCTAGCGTCCTTGGTGTGTTCGCTCCTTTTCTAGATCATTTGTTATTTCATTGCCTTCTATCCTTTGGTGAGCGGCCACCCAGAGTAGGAAGACTTTGTTTTCTTTGCCTAATTTGTTCAGCTTCACTAGGCGTTCTTTGGCCAACTTTGAATTGATGATTATTGAGTTGATCGTGTTTAGTGCTGCTTGACTATCGGATAAAATGGCTATTTCCTATTTTCGATAGCTCCTATCTAAGATAAATTATACGCATCAGTCGATAGCGGAGATTTGCTGAAGGATGCTGAGGTAGGTACCCATTGATTCGTAGAATTAGTTTTCGGCCCAAATACTGCTATTCCTGTCCCTGCTTTGGTTTTGAAAGCATCAGTATACTACGTTACGGTATGGTCTTTTACATGCTGAGCAAACGTTTCTCCCTTCCAATTCTTATTATTACTCAATACTACAGTGATGTGTTTCTCAAAGTTGTAGATTCTTGGTATATTATCCAATGGGAGCTGAAGAAGTGGAATTTTCTTTTTGAGGGTGTTCCAAGCCCCTGATCTGAAAATTCCCCCAGTACTGTTTCCGCCAATGACCATTTTAATCATTGTAGCATTGCCACAACTACCGATTTTCAATGTGCAGTGGTGTTAGGTCTAGAATGAGCTTCATTGCCGCTGTTGGGCATGTTCTCATAGCACCTGTGATTTAGATGCATGCCAGTCTCTGTACTTTGCACAGGTTTTATTTTGCTGTACGTTGCTCTAGTTTTGTGTACCAAGTAACTGCTCCAAAGGTAATCATGGGTCTTACTATAATGGTATACATCCAGTGCAAAATGTTAGGGGCACAGCCTCATCTATTTCCCGCCAGTCTTCTGCATATCATGAGAGCCTTTGTAGTTTTGCTGGTAATGTTCTTAATATGTCTGTTCCGGAGAAGTTTACTGTCCAGGGTTATTCCCAGATATCTGACTTCCTGTGATGGCTGTATTTCCTTATTTCTGCCATATGTATAGATAAAGACTGATAACAGTTGTAATAATTTTTTTTCCATAGCAACTGTTAAAATTGCCTTATATCTATCAAAAATAGTAGATAAAATAGTGCTTTAACCGCAATGATATTTTAACAGCGAGGATAGGTTAAAAACTTTATTTCTTCTCGCACGTTTTAATTGCTTCCATTTTTGAAAATTTTTGTATTCCTTTTCATAAGTTATTCGGGATTTAAATGGAAGTAGTTTGGATTTCGTTTGTCGCCTCAGCCTGAATCAATGTGCCTGTTGGTAATTTACTTATTTCGTTTTGAGCCATTTCTGGCTCCAATTCAATCAGCAATCGACACGAAAGAGAATTAAAAAATATTGACTCCAAACTGACAACTAAAGATACAGCTTTATTTATTTGTCAAATTACATAGAAACCAACGCCCAACCCAGCAAAATATTTTTTCTACTCGTAATAAATTCCTCGAAATAATAATTTGTGAATATTTTAAAACGTAACTCGGTATGGAAAAAAAATGTTTTATATACGACGATAAAATTGCATTATCGTCTCCCGAAATTAATTCACTCGCGATTTCATCGCTGATTTAATCTTTTCGGTCGACGATAAAATACCATTTTATCGTCTTGTATAAAAAATAACTATTATCTGTATATATATATTACAATAGGGCCTTATAGGTCGCAGCGTTTCCGGCAGAGGACGACCTCTTATCATCGAAAAAAAATCTGCTCTTCGGAAAACCATGTCCATTTTCCACTCATCTCTTCGGTGTCTCCTGGTGCGCGCACCAGATCGCGCGCCGCAGGATTAGAAAGTGAACCGTCGAGGCGGCCCGTCGGCGGCTTTTTACCATAATCGCACCGTCGGCCTCCGTCGCAGGAACTCTTCGCGCCACACGCTCGCCCGATCCGCAGGAATCTCGCATTTTACGTCCGATATCGCAACCTCAGATTACGCGCTCCTAGCCGGAACTTTTGCGAAGTTTATCAGCAGGAATTCGGACCACTGTGACCGGCGGGTTTTTAAGAGTGTTTGACCCATTTTTTGGGACAGTGCGTTTGGATTTTTGGTTTTCTTGCTCTTTGCCGGTGGATGGGGAAACAATTATAAACTTCTGCTAAAGTAAGCTTTTTTTGTATATTGTCTTTGACAACATTTTTAGGACTTTTAAAAGATTGGAATTTTAAAAAGTGTGAATACTTTTGTGTTCGCTAAATATACTTCTTTGTAGCGTTACCAAACTTTTGTTTATTGAGTTTTAATTTCATTTATTTAACTAATCTAATGTTTGCAACTGATACTTTTTATCCCTGCTTGACATTTAGACTACAGTTTATTTCAGTTGTTATAAAAGATATTTTGAAAGAAATACAGTTGGAATTAGGTTATCAAAACCAAGACTAAGACTTCCTTAGGCTGAGTTTTGCAGTCTGATAAGTATTCTTGGTCTTGCTCTTGCAGAAGATTTTTGCAAGTCTTGCATTTTTTAACACATCCAAGAGGCACATTCTGCATAAAATCTTTTAATGAATGGCATTTTAAGAAACTTAATGGAAATAGGAATTTAAAGAATGAAAAACTATTTTTATGATGCATTTTCTTCAATATACAGGGCGAGTCTTAAATAAGGGCAAGTATTTTTAGGGTAGTATATTTCGACCCCAGAAACACGTCTATGAGGGTTTTTTCGCAAAAAAAAAAAATTTAAATTAGGAATTTTTTGGAAAAAAAATGGAAATTTTTTAAATTTTATTTAAAAAAACATAGTATCTTGATAATGCTAGATATATATTGTAGATTAAATTTAAAAGAAATAATACCCAGAAAAGATCCAGTGGTTCGCAAAATTTAAGCAAAAATAATTTTTTTAATAATTTTTTAATTATTTTATTTACGAATACGGTTCATTGTTGACGGCTACTATAAATCACATATTAGCTGGCTTAAAATTTCTTTACTTTTTTAATTATCATCTATTCAAGGTGAGATAAAAAACGTGAAAAAAAATTGCCACCACTTATCGCTCGCGGTCTAGATAACAGATATAGGTCTTCTTGCAACAGAAAAACAATCTGGAGACAATGTGAAGTAAAAATAAAAATAGATTTTCCAAAATGTCGGTCTTACTTTTAAGTAATACTGAAATAATTACATCTTTACTTTACTTTATTTCATGTTTACTTAATGCAAAATAAGACTACTGTTGAACCTACATAAAGCTTTCTTAATATTGTTAGCTCTAGACATGTAACCTGAAAAGCTCAAATCGAGAAAAGGTTTTTCACGCTCAATACGCGTGATAAGTTTTTGCAGCCTTTCCCAGTCAAGCATAAAACTGTACCGTTCCCTAGAATGTTTATACCATTTTGAGTCAGTTTGGTTCAATGGATTTTACCATTTTTTTTCTTGTTATTTTTTCTTGTTATTCAGTTCTATATTATTAGAGACTTAAAAATATATTTTTTCCACGATCGTGCAAAAAGTAGGTACCTACACATACCGGAAAAATCTAGGGATATCATTTTATTAAAGTTAAAAATAAATGTTTTGAATAAACCACCACATATTTGTAGGCCGATTCTTTCTACTTCGATTGAAACGAAGTAGTCACACTAGTTATTTCTAGCGTTTGTACATTTTTTGTCAAATGTATAAAAAGCACCTAGCATCAATTGTTCGAATTTAACCTGTACTGGCTATGTTTTTATGATAACTGGCCAGAATTCATTCAAATAACTCTGTTTAGTATTAAACGACATTATGGAGCGTAGACATCTTAACAGAGACGAAATGCTAGGGGCTATGGGATGCTCAAAGCTGGAATGCGCCAAATCGACGTAGCTAGAGCATTAAATACAAAGCAAAGTGTAATATCGCGATTAAGTGCACGCTACCGTGAAAGTGGTGATGTTGCTGAAAGGCACACATCGTATTACTACCCCTCAGCAAGATCATTTTTTACAATTAAACGCTCGACGCCGACCGACTCTTACAGCACCAGAGCTTAGTTTAATTCTCCAGGAAACACATAATGTAACCGTTAGTCCTGACACTGTTCGCAGTAGATTAAGAGAGGTTAACTTAAGAAGCAGACGCCCCTGGAGAGCTCAACCCTTAACGAGAGGAAATCGAGAGGTACGATATTTGTGGGTTCAAGATCATGTTCAGTGGTCGAATGAACAATGGGCCAATGTTCTCTTCACGGATGAGTCACGCTTTGGAATTCATCCTGATTCGAGAAAGCTTAGGGTATGGAGAGAACCGGGAAATCTTATTCGGTTGGATCATGCTCAGGAAGTGCACCCTTATGAAGGTGGAACAGTTATGGTCTGGGGAGGCCTAACGGGACGTCTGTCCAGTTAGGCCGAAAAACCGATCTCGTTATTCTTGAAAGGTTTCTAACAGGAATCACATATCGTGATTTAATTCTTGAGCCTGTTGTGTTACCATATGCCAATGATTTTGGGAGAAACTTCATTCTCATGCATGGCAATGCACGGCCTCATACAGCCAGAGTGGTAAGTGAGTTTATCAATGCTCATCAATTAAACATTTTACCCTGGCCGGCACAATCTCCTGACCTCAACCCCATCGAGCACGTATAGGACGCGGTCCAAAGAAGAATTCTCGTAGGGATCTGGTTCGGGCCGTGAATGCAGCGTGGCAGGCTGTACCTCAAGAAGAGATCGACAATCTGATCAGGAGCATGGAGAGATGATGTAGGGCTGTAATGAAAAGTAGAGGAGGCCATACCCTTTATTAAGTAAAAATGGTTTATCTTTTTTTTTAATTCACAGTTTAGAATAAAAAAAAGTGTGTATTTTTTTGATTTCAATAAAAATCAAGGTAAATTTGAAAAATTCGGTAAATTTCGCATTTTTATTTCTAATACATCCTGTAAACTATTTGTTTATTTTAATTTTATTATATCAGAAATGCAAATAATAAAATTACTGACGATGGCTGGATAAAATTGTAATATCCCTAGACTTTTCCGGTGTGTGTATTTTGACACTATCTACTGTATTAAAAATCAAACTTTTTACATTAGTGCAAACAGTAATTTATTTTTTGCACTAGTGCAAAAAACACCTCACCTTATGAATGACGACTTTAACTAAAGAGAACAAATTTGTAATTTTTTGTAAAAATTTGTCAAATTCTGGAAGATAAACCAAGAACCAGTATTTGATAACCTCGCAGCAACATTCCGGGAAATAGTTTTAAGTGAAGAACAAGAACCCGAGACCTCCACAAGCAGAAATGAAAATAAAATTCAACAGACTACTGGAAATGAAGTTTGTCCACTAATTACCTTAGTAAATTTTTCAAAGTGTGGCATTAAAATTAAAATGAAATAAAAAAAGTTATTAAAAAAATAAAAGTGTCACTGTTAGAGGTAATATTATCCTGTAAATTACTGTAAAAACTTTTTAATAAACATTTAAGTAAGAATTTTAATTCAATCGTAGAAAAAATGTTGTGTGCAACTTGGTGCAAAAAGCATATTTGTTGCACTCAGCATGATTGCAGCGACATCGTCTCGAACTACAAAATTCATGTGTCGTGCACAGTGGTGGATACAAGGGAAGGGCCCATGGGGCCCGGGCCCCCCCTTCCTAAAGCCTGTGAATTGTGTAAAATATTTGGCTTTTGCGTTAAAAATGGCGCCCTAAAAAGCATATTCTACATTGCTTTTCATTTTGCCCCCCCTAAAATAAATTCCTATATCCGCCCCTGGTCGTGCAACAAATATGTCCTTTTTGCACTAGTTACAGAAATAACTATTCTTAACTACTTTACTAGAAATTATAATTTTCTGGAGATGTTTCTTCGTATGAAACATGATGTCGAGAGTAAAATTATAAAAATATTTGGTGTATTTGAAAAAAAAAATGTTAGTAGAAGACACTATATACAATACCTCAGGAGGAAAATGCGTTTCCTCCCTCTGATTTTAATCAAACTATCTGCGATAGGAAAAGCACTGTTTTTCTCCCTTGGTATGTTCAGAAATTTTATCGTTGTTTTAGATATTTTTAGTGATAAATCTACTTTACAAATTGATTGATTAACAAAAGGACTAATTATGGTTTATAACTCGGAAAGTCTTTATTTGTAATTATTTACCATCTTCTTCATAGTGTACACAAAATTTTGTAAAATCTCGCGACTAAACAAACAACATACTGAAGAAAAAGAAAATATAAAGCCGTTGTTTATGTTTTTTGGATTAATTAAATACTTGCACGACTGGTTTTTTAAAGCTTTTAAGCAACCCACCAGCAGGTAAGCAAGCAGATTTTTAAGGTGCTTTTCGAAAAAATAACAATCACATAATTATATTTTTATTGGCGCGATGTCCTAAAATACCAGCGAGGCATGAAAGTCTGAGGTGATTGCTTGGCCTTCATTCAGAGATGATAAACCATAATATTATATTGCTTCTCGTATAATAATGTAAAAATTGAAAATTTAATAGTTAAAACGACTTTAGTGTTTTAACTGTAATATTATACAAATTGCCTGAATATTTTTTTTAATATCTGAAAGAAGCACGGAGGAGTATTTCGGTTTTAAAACTAGTGTCATATGTCCAAAATTCAAATTTCGGAATTCTGAGAACACGGGATCTACTTATTTATCCAAAAAATGCTATATGCATGGGTATTTCGCCACTGCAAGAAAATCTACAAAATAAAATAGTTATTTTTTTGTAAACACTTCTGCGTTAATCCAAATGGAAACTACTTGCCAGAAATTAGGTTTACAGATATACAAATTTGCCCAAAGAACAAAAAAAATGCTTCGGAAAGTTTTTCCGTCGTCGGAAGCAAAAAAAATACAAAGAATAAAGAAAAAAACTATTTAAATTACGTATTTAAATTCAACTATTCGAGAACACTTTAGTTTTTTTAAACAGATACGTCTACAAAAACCGTTGACGTTCTGTTAAAATGACATTATATCAAGTTAAACTAAAAAATTAACAATTACTACCTGATAACAATTACTTAATAAGGTAAAACCAAAAAGCACCAAACTTTCTGTATGATTATTTTTAATTTTTACATATGCTATGTTTATTTATGTTATGTTCTTTAAAATCAAAGAAGCGATT